GCTTAGGTGAAATGAGGTGAAATTAATCTTGAATCTCAAGGCCATTTCCTAACATATCACTATTTCCAAACTCTAGCTTAGAAAATGCTGCTGAGAAGCCAGTGAACTGCTGGTACTGTCAGAGGTCCAGACATGTAATCACTAACTTGTTTCAGCAAAAGTATCCCCTTAAATGTAAAGCTGCAGGTGACTGGCTCACACTCCGCTAGCAAACCTTGAAGTTGCAAAGGCAAATGCTAATCTTTGCATCACTGCTGTGCTTGAAGCTCCCAGCCAAACTGTTTCAGCATGGAGACTGAAACAATTCCTCAGCAGTGTGTGTAGTGGTCTCACCTCTCCGGCCTGCCTGTGCACCATCCTCACACCAGACCCAGTACCCAGTGAACTTCTCATGAACTGCTGTGGTGACAGAATTGACAACGAAACATCCAAGACTTTGGTCATACAAGGTCAGTTAGGAATTCTAACAGAAATATGCAAACCAGTATGGGTATTATTCATCATATGAATCCAGCAATCAAAGGAACCAGCTCAGTCTCACTCTGAAGACTGAAACCAGAGTGAAAGGGATCAAGATTTTTCCAGGGTCATAAATCTCCTTTCCCTCCATAAATCCCATGCTACTTAAAATACAACTAAGGAAAATCTACTTTAGCCTAATCCTATTTAAACCCAACCTGATCCGGTCTCCCAGAAGCATTATCAAATGGTCCTGCGCACAAAATGTTTCACAAGCTTTCTTGGGAATTCAGGGTACAGTCATTGTGCACCTAACTTCTCACTGATCCACTAAAGAAAATTCAATCAAATATAAAAATGTTTTCCACTCAAGGAAAACCCTAATAAAAAAATGACACAGGCTGGGTGGGTTTTAAACAATATATATGTGTGCTATGGTAAAGAGTAGATGTACAAGAATGAGGGATGGTGAATTAAATTGATTTCCTTTTTCTCAGATCTGTGCTACAGTCTCACTCATACTACCACGTGAAGATTCACAGTGGGACTTCTATCTTTTTTGCTATTATTTGAAAATATATTTAAAAGGCAAAAATACTAGACACAGGCATTGTAGGTCTCCAAAAGTGAAAGGTCAGAGCTGTAGGCACATTTCTTCACCTGCATGCTTGCCATACAATAGCTTGGCAAATACTTTCTGCTTCCAACACCTCTCACAAGATTATGCCAACAAGGTAACAAACATCTCCACCAAAAGGCTTTCAGGCAACAAAATCCATTAACTACCAGTCAAGACTGCCGTCAGTGAAATCTGAAAGTAAACCAATAAAGGCAAGTCCAAATAAACATCTCTAAATAGGCCCAAGTTAACATTTAATGACACCTTTCAGACACAGGATAAAGGGACTGAGAGATATGACTGCAGTGGAAACATGAAGCTGACAAAACTTCTGCAGTGAGCAGGGCCCCATACTGAATCATGGCTTCAAGTTTACCTTTTTTTAAAATTATTTTTTTATTTAATTATTGTGGCATCTAGGAGCAATAGGAAGATTCTAAAAACACAGGGACCAGGAAAAGTTTAAAGTGTCTTCCCATAGTGCTCACTGCTCTATCAAAATTAACTCCTGGTAAAATCCCCATACAAAGCATTTAAAAAGTACTTATTTTTCCCTGCCCAAACCAAACCATGCTGAAGATGGCTGGACACAGAGGAGGGTAAAATAAGCTCAGACACGGCCACATTGCACAGCAGCTTAGCTAGTGATTCTGCATGCAGCTAAGGTGTCTTCAGTCCAATTAGGCAAGTACCTTTGGCTACTATGCAGTGACTCTTTAACTCCTTCCCTGGATTTTAACATTTTCATGAAACAGGGCAGTCTTGGTGGTTAATTTAGCAAATATGGCTCTGGTCTGCCAATAGAGAAGATCATGCTACACTGCTAAGTGGCACACACAATTCCCTCAACATTTTTAAAAATAATCCCAAACACATGTAACTATTGAAAAAACAAACAAAATGAAGAACTTGATCCACAGTCACAGTGAGACAACTGAGAAATGTCACCTGATCCAAAAGCATGGATCAAAAATAACATCAGAGCAATGGTAGTTATTTAGCACTTACAGGCATCCCAGTGGGAACTTGAAAGGAGCAGGGTTCTGGAAGTTCCTTCTCTTGACACAGATCATGAGTAACCTGTAAAATGCCTATGAAGAGGAAGGCACTTCACCCTGCAACCCCCTCAGACACCTCGTCAGTTAACTGAGACCTAACCTGCCTTGGACCAAGACTCATCACACAATAATTAGAGAAACACAGAATATTCTGAGCTGGAAGGGATTCACAAGGATTACCCAAGTCCAACTCCTGGTCTACCCTGCATTGCTTGTACTTAGGTGCAAGAGTAGATACAATCATCCCATTTATTTTTTGTTTTCTCTCCATAGTGAATAAACCTCAGATTGGGAGAAGCAGGCTTACTGCTGCTTGGAAATAAATGCTGGTGAACTGGTTGTGGATACAGAGAGAAAAGAAAGAGCACCACAAGGGGGTTTAATGAAGACACAGATACCTCACTAAGGCAGTTTGAGCTGAAGTAACACTCACTTGAAAAGCCCATCTTCCAACACTGCTGCAATACTGGCCATGAGCTTACAACAGAAACACACATTGAAATGGTCATTAAAAAAAAGAATTTGGCATCTGCATCTTACTATCTAGTACAAAAGAGAAGTACAAGACAACTCCTTCAGGAAGCTGTAACAGTAGAAATTTCAATTATCAACTTTTTTCTTAATAGTTTATCTACGCAAATAAAAGTCAAGCCAGTGTTGGCTACTATTGTAGGTGTTGATTCTTGCATTTATTTCAGTACTCCCATCTTTACCACTATTTTAATTTAATTTACATCAAATCACAGACTGCTGGTTTTCTGCTATTTTGCATCCTACAGAACTCAATTCTTCATACTGTTAGAGATCAGTCTTTGGTTCGGCTATATTAGGCTGTGCCCTTTCAAGCAGAAATGGCCTCAGTTACTCAAACATCCACCTACAGGGCATTCTCAGGTAAAAAAAACCAAACAAAAACCAACACCTTTACACCACCTTTAAGCTGTAGTGGAGTTGCTGACATTGCTTTAACACAAAAGGTAGAAATACTGTCATTTTGGTGCTTTAAAGCAGTCCCTTGATGAAGTCCCAAAGCATGCCTGTGGTTCCCTTACTGGAGGTAGCCAGTGGGTGGAGTATTAACTTACCAGCTGACTGGTGGGATACTGATTTCTGATATAAGCAATTTTTACAGATCATCCAGTACTGACATCTTCCTCCATTGCAACATGTGCAGAGTACTGTATCCTTTTCCTTCCCACTGGAAAGGATAAACCAGGCACTTTTACCTCCTATATTTGGTTGTGGACAGAGACAGTAACTCTGCCATGGTCTGCTAGTGAGGACATAGGTATAACAGCTTAGTCAGTGTACTAGCTCTATCGTGACAGATCCACTGGAACTAAGTTCGCAGTTTATTGCTAATACTTGCCTTTTCTCTCTTTAAAGCACATGATTGTTTTCTGGCATCTGTCAGGTCATCAAGTAGTTACCTGCATTCCAGTTGCTTATGCAATTTGTCTCACGAAAAGCTGGTATATCGAAATAAGGACATGGGCAAGCTTACACATAAGACAACATCTGTAAGAACTTACATTAAGCTTCGCACTTGAGCCTCTGCAAGGTCACATTCTCATTAGAGCAAGAACTAAAACCAATGGACTACCATAAAAGGAAATATTTCCTTCTGTACATTATTTTTATTATTTACATAATACAATATAGCATAGATGCTGGGTAGCTTATGTGCAATACATAAATATGAACTATCTGTACATGTTTGCATATCTAATAACTAAGAACAAAGTTAGAAGCGAAAACCTGACGCTTTTAATAGTAAAGTAAAAACCAAGACTGAACACTGGCAATAAAAATCAGGCCAGAAGTAGTGCCTTGTGTACGTATGTAACTATTTACAGATGAGAACAGGCATTACCACAACACTAGTCTAAACCGTATTTGTTTATATAAAAAAACCAAGTTTCATACATCACAAAAACCCCTTCCATTATAACACAGAAGTGATATATATTACCAGACAAGCATCAGTGAAGAATACTGCCTTTTCTAGAGTTGTTATTGTACAATGCCAGATAACGCAGCCCATGCAATACACCCAAGAACACTACAGTCCTATACCCAAGTACAATTAAAAATGATGAAAGCAGTCCTCCAAGAGTGGTTCCAGCTACCATTTAAGTCTACAGCAGCCATGTTAGGTATGGTTTTCCATGCAGAACGGTGCAACTGTTACATTTAAAACTAGAAAAATTAATTCCTAATATTCTTCTGAACTTGGAACACACAGAACATAAGTAATACATGAATAGCAAACTGCTCTAGTATTTCAGCAACTTATTTAGACCCGTGTTGCTTGATAGAGATGATGTGATATGTCTAGAAACATTTGTAACTGTTTTTTGAAAACCAGTCTTACAATATTGTGCTACACAACATTTTTAGCTATGCAAGGAAAAGCAGACAACTCTGTTGCAGGCCAGTTCAGAAGCTCCTAATGGGACATTTCCTTTGGGAACTTTTTTCTAGATTCTAAAGTTAATGTAATTTTTACAAAACAATTTTCCTCTCATATGTATCTGAATTTTTCCATTTTGCTCACTGCAGTTTTTAAGTGACTTAAATATGGCATTGACACTCATGTAACTGGGATGGTAGACCCATCTACACAGCATTCTGCTGGAAAACTAAAATGGAGTGTGGCAACTAAAAGTAGAATGAGATTTTAAATGATAGAAGTAGACTGCCAACTGTTTTGATGTATCCTTCTCCAAAACAGGCATATAATATTAACCGAACATTAAACAACTCATGCACATCTCAAAAGGCAGAGCTGCTGCACACATGCAGATTGCATACATCTGTTTGGCACACGTGAACTAGAGTCTGTCTCTGGGCATGTGTATTCCTGTGCAGGGTTCTGATCATCCATCTATTCTGGGGAGGGCATATATATATTTTCAATGGCTGTATCTATCCAATTCTGCCTGTATCAAACACCCAAACATCTGAAGTATTGTTTAGACAGACAGGACTAGAAGTATAACTCTGGAAAACAAAGGAAAATGACCATGCACCTGCTCTTTTCATGTTTTTAGGATGTATTGAAAAAAAAAGCCCCACAAAGAGTCAGTCAGTCTTTTCACAAGCAGATTAATTTATATTCTCTGAATTTTTTCAGCCACCACGACTGGATTCTCTTTTCTGATTTTTGCTGCAGCTTCTGCTTTATAATCATATGGGCAATTATGCTTGTCAGAATAACGGTGAAGTCCACAAAATAGGTTTCCACATCGGCAGTCAAATCCTGTACACAGAAAAAGAAGCAACATTACTAGGAATATTAGTTTTAATTAAGGATATTAAGGGTGCAGTCACTACATATGCATATGTCTCTCTACTATGACATACAAAGTAAGAAAAAGTTTACTTAATCATGTGAATTGTGAAGAAGCAGCTAAATTTAACAGAACATGTATTTTGCCAAGTTTTATCTAGCAAGAGGTAGATTCATCAAATCATGCAAATCTGTTTAAAACTGACAGTATCCTCATACCTGTAAGGCCAACCTTCTTCCTGCACATGAAACATCTGTTCTTCTTTGGTTTCGGCAGTTCAGCAGCTCTCTCTTCACTTTCTGAAGTACCAGGCTGAGAAACTGATGGACTTGGTTGAGTAACAACTGTTAAAGCATGTAAAGGAAATAAGGGTTAAATTTGCTTTTCCTGATTTCACTAGGTATCCAGTAGTATGCGCGTACATTAAGGATTAATTCACCCACTACATAAACTTAGGTCTAAAAATGTGAATCACAAATAAGGATTTTTAGGTACTTTATTCATCCCTTTGGACTCTACTTGAGATACTCAGATTTTTCCCCACATTTCAACCAACTAGAAAATATATGGCACTTACTCATTATACCTTTATGGGCTTGAAAAGCATGACAGAAATTCCATGTACACATTTCATATTTAAATAAATCATATGATCAAGCAACACTTAAATCTAAAACTACCAATACTGTCACAGCTGAAGTTGCTGCACACAGGTACTTCTGTAGGAAATATAACTAACAGGAACATATTTTAGAAAAAAATGAAATTCAGTAATATGTTCCTGCTATAGCAGTGGGTTGTTTTGCCACTTTTGCAGTCAAGTCAGGTATCTAAAGCAGCTCACCAAGACAGCAGCTAGGAAGCTAAGACAGCTACTAAGAATTTAATTCTGTGACAGACCCAGAACACAGCTACAAAATACACTGTTCAAAAGAGCCTTCATTTAAATAATAAAGTACAGATTTGCATTGCATGTGTATTTTTTGTAAAATAATTGTAATTTATTCAGTTTCGCTGTTCAAGCAGGTACAGTCAAAATGAATACTTTCATAATTGCCTCTTTAGACATCTTTAGAACATCTTTAGACACAGCTGTTTTATTGAAAAACATGTTTTTCCCCAAAAAAATTTAATTTTTAAAATTGCTATCCTCTTCATATCCAAAACTGGAATTAAGGAAAGCTGAGAGATGCACTTGTACACAACTGTAATACCTGCTCTTGGTACAAGTTTGCTGAGCACTCCCTATCTATCACAAGTCTATTAACTACATAATACATTTCATAATAAATGGAGTATATAAGCCTCCAGGATGTATTTGCAATTAACTTCATACAAATATAATTTGTTGAGATTCTTTTGAATAGTACTTGTTTTTTAAAATTGTGCTTGTATTGTCATAGAAAACTTCACAATTCACCATACAACAAAAAAGGCCCCAGGTAGGACTTCATAATCTAAACAAGACTTATAAGCAACAAACTCTCAGAAGTAACAGGGACCCTTCAGTGCCCATCACCAAAAAAATCTTATGCAGTAAAACAAATGACTGCTAATATTTTCTTATACTTCTGTATTATAGCAACAGTCCTAATGAATAAGCAAGGTCATTTACCTGTCTTTTTTGTCACATCGCAGATACTTTACAACTTTGTTTTTTGTGAAAACCATTTGTTTTGATGAAGATTTTCAAGATGAAAATCTTGAAAATCTGAACATGAACAAATATGACACTCTGAACTTGTTCTTAAATCCTAAGAAAATCAGTGTTCAGTACCAGTTTGTCTACCAAAAAGCCTGTGACAAAAATTTGGTTTAACAGCCAGCAATATCACAGAGTATACCTGTTGGATGTTATGCACCTTGACCAACAGCCATCAGCCATGGCCTTAAAAAAATAAAAATACTAAACACCTCCCCGAAAGCATAGTCAAACCTCTTTTTTAAAGACTTGTTATATTGCTAGTTTGTTTCAAAATGAAATGCTAATGTAAGCCAAGACAGATGAATAAGAAGAACCAGAAACATGCACATTGCAATTTGGTATGTAGTTAGCTAAGGGAAAGCTTCATCTATGTCAAAACTAACTTAAAAATTTGATGATGTTGCATGCTGTTTCAATCATGTGCAAAAGAAAATGTAGAGGGGGACAAATGAACAGTGACAAAGTCATTTACAACATACACTAACAGAAAATGAGAAAAGAACCATTTATATCACTGCCTAACACATGTCAACAAGGAAGCAAAAATTAAAACAGCACCTTCCTAGGAATTACAAAGTCAAAAAGACAGCTTAGTAGATCACTCTACTACAAAACATAGCCTCTGAGAACAAATTAATCCAGGGAAAATGTTACCAATTACTACAGGTATACTTCCATCTTTGCATCAAGAAACAGCAACAATGGCAGCCCACAATGATGTCACCACTAAGTGATGAAAGTGATCCTCAGAAACTGTAGCAGCACATTTCCTGAAAGGAATCCTGCTGAACAGGATCCTTCCCCCATAACTAAAACATCTTCCAAGGAGGAAAAGCAGTACACAACATGCAGTAATGGTCACTAAAAGGGGGAACAAGAGAGGACATAGCTCCCTAAATACAAACATAAAATGTTCCATTTACTACTTTCCAAGAATAAAGGATTATCCTATTATTTCATGCCGGCAGACTTTAGTCTGATTGGCTTTTATGATGTTAAGTGTTCATAAATGTGCTCCTGAGTAATGGTGAGGACAGAAGAAAAAGCTGCCTACTATGTCCCTTAAAGCTCAGAACAAAACTCCTTTTTCATCAACCTGTAGATGAAAAATACCAAAAACTGTAGTAGTTCTGCCACGACATGAGGAGCCCACTTAAATCAAAATACTGTTCTTACAGTTTCTTGTCACAAAAGGCTTCCTTTAACACAAGAGACAAATCCAACTGGGCAAGTGCAATTCCAGGCCTCAAGACAGTAAATTTAATTCATGCCAGAAATCACACAGTGTTAATCGAAGTGCTGTAAAGATTTATCTATCACTGCAGAATGGGTAGCTGAAAAGATGCCAAAAGCTAGAAAACAGTGGCTACTGGTACCTGTTGACCTGCTTCCTCAGTAACAGTGCTCAGATGAAGCAAACTCCTCACCACTAAAACTTCTTGCCACTGTAAAAGAGCTCATACCGGCATGCATTGGCTTTCTCATCCTGATCTCCAAACTGCAGGAACATGGATTTGAAGGATGGACTATGTTGTGGATAAGGAATTAACTGTATGGACACAGCCAGAGAGGTGTGGTCAATGGCTATATGTCCAGGTGGAGACTAGTGAGCCAGGTGGAGACAGAGCCCTCAGCATGAAGGAGGAACAGGGAGATCTGGACAAACTTCAGTAATGGGCTCAAGACCTGTGCATCTACTCTGCATTAGATTCCATCTGGAGTGCTGAACCCAGCTCTGGGTTCTGAACTCAGCACAGGAAAGATGTCAATCTGCTGGGTTAACACCAGAAGAGGGTCATGAAAATGTTCAGGGGGCTGAAGTGTCACCCCTATGAAGTTGAGCTGAGAAAGATGGGGTTGCTCAGCATGGAGATGACAAGGCTCTAGGAATACCTTATTGAAGCCTTTCCAAGCTTAGAGGGCTTGTAAAACAGAGGGATAGATTTAGACATGGGCAGATAGTGACTGGACCAGAGGAAACATTTTTCAATTACAAGAGAGAATTGTATTAGATTCGATTTCTGTTAGACAGAAATTCTTTAAGAGTAGTGATGCACAGGAACAGAGGTTGGAACTAGACGATCTATACGGCCCTTTCCAAATGGTTCTATGGTTCTTTGTAGCCCTCTCCATCACCTTGGTCATGTCCACTCCCATCTCTGGCTCAAGACCTGCAAAGATTTACTTCATTCAAATTTTACCAGATCAGGTCTCCTACTACAATGCCAGAAACTTTAGGAACAACTCATTTCCAGAACTGGCTTTTATTAACAAATATTTTGGTCTTAAATGATTGCCTGTAAGCACTATAAAGATGCATTACCATCATGCCCAACAATCACTATTACCCTAGCAAATCAATGATAAATTAATGTAACATAATCCTATACTAGAAGTGGATGCCTGAATTAGTCTACATGCATGCATTTCATCATAAATTTGGGAAGTTTTCCTTCAAATTTAGCCTAAAGATAAGACATTTTTATGAGGAACACCAAGGCCACCGATAGAATCGGTCAGCCACATGACAAAGCACAACAGCAACTAAGTCTGCATGCAAAAAGGTTCTACAGGCTGGGAATAAAGTTCCTCTTAGACCCATAGGAGTGCCACTCAAAATTAAAAACCACTCTAAGAAAGAATGCTCAAAGCTGTCAGTAGTTTTTCTTATATAAAACAGTACAGCTGCTTCAAAAAAAAGCATGTCTCTTACCAGTATTACAGATTTCACACTGGACAGGAATTAATCTGATGTTTCAGTTGAAGAAGATACATTGAAAATAAATCAGTACTATTTTCTAACATTCCACATATCAAAAGTGACCAGAAAGGGATACAAAAGTAACAGAATAAAGGTTTTAGAAGCTTCTCTGACTGAAGAAAAATTCAGCAAAATTAGATCTAAGCACCCTAAACTTCACAGATAACAGTGGCACAAATTCTTAAAAGCACAGGGGAAAATGATTTAAGGACCGTGACTTGATAAAACTAACTGCCAACTCCCACCATTTAAGAAATGGAAAACACAACAAGGGAGAAAAGGTAAAGTCAGAAGTTATCCAAAAGATATTAGATGCATTTCTGCTGTTCTGGAGCTGAAACAATAGCAGTAGTAGAAGTACTAGAAACAATACCATCCTCATATTGCACATTACCACAATTGTCCTGGTTTCAGTTGGGATAGAGTTGTTTTATTCTCAGGAGCTCGTATGCTGCTGTATTTTGGATTCAGTATGAGAATAATGATAGTATTAATAACACTAATGTTTTAAGTGTTGCTAAATAGTGCTTTTACTTTAAAACAAAGACTTTTCAGTGTCATGTGCTCTGCAAGCAAACAAGTACACAAAAAGACTGAAGGGAGCATCACTGGGACAGCTGACCAGAATGAGCTAACCAAAGGAATATTCCACACAACAGAACACCCTTCCCAATATATAAATAGGGGCATGTTGACCAAATGTAGTATGCATCACTTGTGAAGTTCCTGGGGTTTATTCTTCTTTCCCCTCTTTTCATTACAATTATATTGTTATTGTCAACAGTATTGCTTATTTTACTTTAATTATTAAGCTATTTTTATCTTAACCCACAGGGTTTAGTTTTTCCCCCTGTAATCGTCTTCCCCACTGGGGAGCAAGAATCAAGTGAGTGACTGCACAGTACTTAGCTGTCAGACGGGGTTAATCCATGACAATGAAGTGCTTGTACATACAATTTTAGTCTAGAAAGACGGGCAGTACCTGTAATGCTTTATCAAGCTTTTGCTCAGGAACTACAACTGCTATTTCGACCTAGGTGCCAGTGATGGTAGGCTGCAGAACAAACCTCCATCATGCTTTCTTTCATGCTGAAGAGCAGGAACAGAAATGTTCTGCAGCATGCTACTCACATTCTGCAAGTCCAACTCTCACTCATGTATTTGTGTATTTAATGTCTTAATTTAATATGCCACATTAACACAACATAAAGATTCCTTGGTTTCAGTATCACACAGAAACACAGTTTAATTTGGTTATTATGAAGACCTGACATGTGTGGTGTACCACTATTAGAATAAAAATAATGTGCTATCACCAAAACACACAGCACCAGCATTTAGGTCCTCAGCTTTTCTGTATGCAGTGGACAGCTTCAGGGCTTACAAGAGATTTCATTTCTGAAATTTTTCAATCAGGAGCATTTACCAAAGCTGCAGTGGACATGGGAAACATGAAGAAAAGCTAATTGTTTTTAACACAATACAGAATTATCGTATCAGAAAATGTTACTAATTCAACAGAACAGTTTACAGAGAGAAACATGGTGAAATTACTACAGCCATGTGTGAAAACTAACCACAACTAACAAGGCACTCATTACAACCAGATTTAAGGAACACCATGTACTTACATCTTGATCTTATCAGGTCTCAAGCTACCATACTTACATCTTACTCACAGTATTACCTGCAACACACTGGCTCTACCTACAACATAGCAAAGCAAGAGTAACCCATTATAGGGTCTCACAACCGGAATGCCTAACAGCTGTAGAAGAGCTCTAACCCTAAGAGCTTGATAGAAAGCAAAGAGGTGCCAACCACCATTGCCTGCTGTCTTCTAATGCTGCTGTGGCTGAATGAAAGGGTAGGTTACAGCAGGGATGGAAGTAACCAGTATTTAAGTATTTTTAAAATACTTCATTTACAAAAATATCATTATCCGTTCAATTTCTCGTTCACTTTTTTATAAGCAATACTACTTGCATGTAACACTACTTGCTAAACAAGAGCATTACTGCATTAAAAAACCCAATCCAACTCCAAAATCTGTAAATAACAGCAACAAACAACCACAAAAAGTACTAGTCCCTTGAGCCAGTGCTGATACTATGTATGGAAACACTGACAGACCTGACTAGAGGCTGACCATTCAGCAAAGTATTCACCTGCAAAAGGTCTAAGAAAATGCTTATAATATGCTATGCATTAAAACAATACAATTGTTTAAATAAACTTGTTTTCAAAAACATTGATTTTTAGTGGTGTATTGGTTTTGCATGGCCTGGTTTTGGTAGCAAGAGACTACAGAGGTTACTTCTCTCAGAAAATGGTAGAAGTTTCTTTGAAGTCTGGCAGAGCCAATCTCTGGTGACTCCAAAGTGGGGTGTGCCCCTTTGTGGCCAACCAGAAAAGGTGGCAACACCTCTGTGGTAACATATTTAAGCAGAAAATAAAACAGAAGTTGTTGCACAGTTGCAATTCCATCCAGAGAAGAGCTGAGTGAGAACGTGCGAGAAGAACAACTTTGCAGACACCAGGGTCAGTGGGGAAGAAGAGGCAAGGAGGTGCTCCAGGCGTTGGGGCTGAGATTCACCCGCAGCCGTGGTGCAGCAGCTGAGCCCTTGCAGCCCCTGGAGATCCACAGGCAGGCAGAGATCCACCCACAGGCCAGGGAGGATCCCCCCACCAGAGCAGGGGGATGCCTGAAGGAAGGCTGTGACCCCATGGGAGACCTGTGGAGGAGCCCTGCTCCTATGCAGGAGCAGGCTGTCCTTGAACGACTGCACCCCATGGAAAAGTGACCCACACTGTGGCAGTTTGAGGGATGCCATTGCCCATGGGATGAACTCATGTCGCAGCAGTTCTCAGGGAACTGCTGCTCATAACATTGACTCATGCTGAAGAAGTCAATGGAAGAACTCTCTTCAGTGGGAGGGACTCCTTGGTGCAGCAAGGTGCAATAACTCCTCTCTGTGAGCAGTAGGAGCCTCAGGTGATAAACTGACCACAACACTCATTTATTCCCTGGCCCCACTGGGGTAGGAGGTACAGAGCTGTTTTTGCTTCTCATTATCCTATTCTGATCTTTTTAACGATAAACTATCACTTAGCCTGTTTTGCCCACGATGGTATTTGGTGATCTCTCCCCATCCTTATCTCAACCCATTAACCGCTGATTTTATATTCTCATCCCTGTCCAGCTATGGAGGGGAGTGATAGAGAGGATTTGGTGGGTGCCTGGCATCCAGTCAGACTCAGTCCACTACAAGTTAAAGAAAACAACCATGAGAGCTACAACCAAGTTACCGTCTACCATGCCTTTCTTCAGATGTTAATGTACAATTAATTGTCTTAGCACCAGATTTGTTCTGAAGGTGAATCTAGGTGGCAACCTCAACCAGAGCAAAGAAGAAAAAAACTAAAATCCCAACAAAATCAAAAGAAACAAGCTTGTCAAGCTTCATAGCTTAATTTTTTCTTAATTTTTCTATGTCCTTGTCAGTTGTTTCAATTCCAAAAGCAAAAAAGTATAGTTTTATGCTACAAGACTGCAAAAAAATAAGCAGTTACCAGATGAAATCCTTCTTTTAAACCTTCCGATTCATAAGGGAAACATACAAAATTTATTTTGCTAATGAACATCTGGCAGAAGAGAATGTGACTTCATACTCTTGAAGATACAGCTCATGACCTATTGCCATCTGGTTATGAAATTGTCCCTAGTGTCAGGATATGCTATCAGCTACACTGTATTTCATTAACAACTCCATGACTGCATTATCTTAGAGAATCACACCTCAAAGAAAGTATTAACTTTTGTTGCTCTAGGTGATGCGAATTATTTACTGTTGTTCTAGTTTGTCCTTGGGAGACCAACACAAAATGGAAAAAGATCTGCCTAGTCCAGATACACCAGGAATATTTTTTATAAAAAGTCTAGGTCAGTTTCTCTTGTGCCTGCAAGACACACAGTAATGCACCACTAAATAGTCAACACTGCTAATTTAAGATGTCCAACAAATCCTAAGAATAGTATATAAGGACATTATCTTATGCTGTCTAGGATCTGTGCCAAACAATAATACTTAAAAGGGAACTTGGGCATTAGAGCAGCTGAAGCTGCCTCATGAATTTACAGGTATGGTCTCTCAGGAGGCAGTTAGTTCTTCACGTTTTTTCCACAAGTATTTAAATTCTCTGGTAGTATTTCCAATCATCTCTACACAAGCCTGTGACAGCTTTTACTGGTTTCAACCTGTGAGATCATTTACTACAATTCCTAAGTATCTCTGAGCTGCTCTAGATTTTTTCCCTCGTTCTCATCAATAGTCAGTTGTGTGACCTATCATACAGCTGACCCACAGTACCTGAAAAACAGGTTATGTATCAACAATAACTAAAGACCTTCTTTATGGCTGGCAAAATGATAGCTATTCCAAGAAAAGTAAAATCACCTATTACTGCTGCACTACTACTGTTTTATGTATTCCTATTTCCTTCTTGACGCATTCCAGTGGAATTTCCTAACACAACGGGTTAATGAATACTGTTGCAAAGTCAAAATTACTTTTCAGTCACATAACAAAAGCCTTTTCAGATGACATCAGCTCAGAGAGTTAATAACTGCAAAAATTCCCTTTTAGTCCATACATAATGAAAAAACCCCAATATACTGTATAATTGTACTTTAGTTCATGTCACAGAACCTTGACTCAGCATGACTTATGAAAATGGTAAAACCCTCTGTACAAATACTGAACAATTAAACATCAAGCATCAGACCAGTTTTGTTGGCAAAGACAGAATTATATAAAAATCACTTTGATACAGTGCTTAATAGCATCTTTCTGATGCCATTTTCATCTCAATGACTTCAAAACTGAAAAAAATAGATTTTATCTTCAGTTTGAGTAAACAGACTTCCTACTACATCAGCTTTTAGTTTTTAAAACTGTTTCAGAGCTGATAAATAAAATAAAGTCTACATTTGTTACAGTGCAAAACAAGTACGTTAAGATATCCATTTGAACAAACTGGTATGAATTCAGTTGTGCACCAGTTAGGTTAAGCAAGCTGCCTCTCCCTCTGCCTCACTCCCAGAAATAGTTTACACACTGAAGTTTCACTACTCCAGCTATAACTATCCAGCATGAGAATAAAACTGTTAAATGGACAATTCACACACAATTAAAGCGACAACTACCTACATCCCTGAAACAATGCATTGGTTATATCTAGGGACTACTCAATTAGTTCAAGAACCCTAAGCAACTTCTATTTTTTTAAACCACACATTCTCCCTTCCCCCACAGCCTCACTCCTCTGTAGAATGGAATTTATTAAGCACCCTTCTCCAACGAGACATTTTGAGTCAGCTGGAACTGTTCTGCTAGATAATATAGCAAATCCCAACAGTTTGACTTCAAAACCGAATACCTTACCTTAATACGATTTTAGAGTATCTCACTTCTAAAAACTAATGTCAGGGATCTAAAAACCCTCATGAGTGTCAGTTATTTTACTAACAACATATATTTTAAAGCTTTTGTGGAACTACAGCTAGTAGTTCTTCTTCTTGATTCTGCAGAGATTCTTGATTTGCCGGATTCTTGATTCTGAGGAGACAGTAGTCAAATGCATCTTAAACACATTTCTTAAGACCACCACCATAACAGGAGATGGCTACTCAGAAAGTAAACAAACCCCAACTTATGTTAAGTCCCTGGTTGTGCCCAGTGTCAATCTGACAACATACCTGGCTCAGTCTCTGTTTTTGGTGTCAATTCTTCTTCTCTTGAAATACTCATTTCTGTCATTTGCTGTGTTACAGGCAAAGCAGCAACAGGCACGTTTCTGTTTAAGCACAGTGAAACACGTAATTTACATCAGCTTTACATTCATAATAAAACCTTGAACTGTCCAGACCCATTAATGAACTACTGGTTCAGTCATTACAAATATCCTATCCTGACCTATGCTTCTACTATCTTCAAAATACACTTCTTTATTCTATTTTAGTTTCCCTAGAAGAAAACAGGCAAGCCTGTAACTAATTAGTTCTGTACATAAACAAAAAACATTCTTTATACTGCAGCACTACAACACCCTCTGCAAACACTCACTGCAACAGGGCAGGACTGCTGCAGGCCTTCCCGCACACTCACAGCTCATTCAGCCATCACAGTACAATCTTAATTTTACCTTGTTTTTTCAGATGTGCTGCCAGCAGCACCTTCACAGTTGTTTAAGCTAGTGTCTGCTCTCTGTACAGATGCAGAGTCTGAGGTAGGACTGTTTGGACCACTGGTTGTTCCTATGTAACAATAATTTGACAAGTTATGAACAAATTGCAGAAAACACATTAATCAAATAGTCTCCTATACAGCCACAAACTGCCTGCACAACATATTCAATGAAACTGCTTGTTACTTTTTACTTAGAGACACTTTTTACTTAATAACCAAAATACAGATTGCATAAGAAAATTCTAACAGAAGTGGCTAAATGGGAAAGCAAGTTATGGTTGTGGAAAGTATACGTGGAAAGCAAACCACAACGCATTACACAGAAATTATTTTTATCTTTATTGTGCATTAAAGTAGTATTCTCTTTGAATATTCAAACTGAATTGAACTGAAACTCTTTCAGTTTATTTTTCAGAAGTTATCCTAAAAAATGTTCTAGTATTCCTTGTAATCCTCTGTGTATCTTATTTCAAAAGAAATAAAGAAACCCCCCAACAATTCCCCACACCCTTACCCATTGGGCTGATTCTACCACTATTCTGCTGTCGCTGAAGATGTTCTTTGTAGCAAACAGAACACATCCCATTTGTCCTAGGATTTCCATAAAATCCACATCCTGTACTACACAGCATAGGCCCTGGGGTCTGGTTTGTCTCCTGAGTCATCTCGATGCTGTAAATAAAACAAAAAACTGCATTAGGAGCTGGCATGTCACCAAAATCAATTACAGGGTTAAAAGTATTAAGTATTCACCCTGTTCACCCTGCCCCACCAAGTGATATCACCGTGGTTAAAGAGGGTTATATGAACGTTAATATACCATACAAGACCACAATTTATTGCTAAGTAACATCATTATGAACCTTTAAGACAAGTGTCATCATACTAATACTGAGAAATAATATACTTGCTGAGCACTGAACTACATGTGAAGGCTAATTTAATTTGACAGCCAAAAAAACCTCCTTAAGTACTACCTTCTGAGCACTAATAGGGATATGAAGAGTAAAACTAAATTCATACCTGCAAAACAGTTTTGGCAAACAACATAGCTTATTTCTGCAGGACTCCAGCAGAGCCAAGAGACTTCAGCAGAACAGCCCTCCTTTTTCAGCGCTTATCTCACATCATTTTGAGGCTAATTCCACATTAGCAGTACTTACTCTCACAACACTCTTTCAAGGGAGATAACATTAACAACGCCAAACTGTGCAGTATATTCTATTACATATCTTACACATTTACAAGAGAAAAAAACCAAACTTCTCTAATCAAGTTGTGTCAAGACTTCTAAGCTTCCCAGAGGCAGTCAGTGCCAAACATGTTAGAAATAAGGTTTTCACCTTCACTGCCTGTTAACCTCTGCAAAGCAAGGTTAGTAGAAAACTGTATAGCCGCCAAATCCTGGATTCCCAAGGGCAATAAAACTGGAACACAGTAATCATGCATTTGCTACAAATTGAGGACATGTAATAATATTGCATTAAAATTTAAATTTAGGAGAAGCTGTGCATATGTCATCTGAAGACTTTGGATTGCTGTTTTCCTGCTCAGAAACCGTCACAGTAAGAGATAGTTGACGGCTGACACTTGCTAGAAGTAAAATATGCCAAAAGTGAACTTGTTACTTGAACAGTGTAAATAAAAATGCTTCTAATTAACAGAGCTCGCACTTCAAGTAGTAAACTTACGCTTCCCTAGTACAGCAACTGCAACTGACAGGTACCTTTAGCTAAACTAAACTTCTGGGATCACAGTAAACCAAAACCAGGAGAAAGTAAACAAGCAAAACTCATCTTGTCTGCTGGTGGTCATAGGACCTAATCTTCCAGGTATAAATAGCTGTACTCTTTATAGCTTTTTAACACCTACCAGGTATAAATAGTGTCCTTTCTGGCTACAACACGGCTTCACACTTATTCTGATACAGTTTTACAGCCAAACACACCAGTCAAGAGAGCTATTAGAAAGCCTGAACCACGTAGAGGAAACCTAAAAAAAACTTGCCATCTTCGACAAGATGTAGACCTATGTCTGTATAATACAAAAAAACTGCTTCTGCCCTTTGGTTACTAACCAGCTAAGATCAAACGCACTGCCAACATCAACTGACTTGCTTAATTTCCAAGTTAACACGCTAAAACAAATTTCACCACTTACTAAATGTTGCTTTAGGTGCCAACTCTAATATTCTAGTACAAACTAGACACTAAGCAGCTCCTATGGTCTGCAGAGTCTTCCACTACTTGCAATGCATGCCCCTAACGGAACGATCAAGTCGTTGCTACCCAACGCAGAACAAGCCGTGCTCTTCCAGGCTCCGGGGGGCGACCGGCGCTTCACCCGCGTTCATTTTCAAGAAGCCTCCCGACAGTGGGAACCCCGCTACAGCACAGGCACCCCTGTCCACCGCTTACCGCAGCTCCGCGCCGGGCACTGCCCGCTCGGCGGTGCCGCTGCCGCCGCGCTGGGTCGATCACATGGGCGGGCGAGCGCCTGCGCTTCCGCCTGTCAGGCGGCGGCGTGACGGGCCCGGGCCGCCCGGCCGCCCCCGCCGCCCGCTGAAGTCAGTCCCTATTTATATCTCCTGCAGGCCGCCGGCTCCGGCGGGAGGAGGCGCCGGCGAAATCCGACTGCCCTTTCCTTCCAAGGAGGAGTGGGGAGAGGGGGTGCTGACCTGCCCCCCAAAAAATGCGGCATCACCAGCCCGCCGCCTCCCGCGATCGGCGCCCCGGGGCAACCATCTCTCCACGAATGCGCCCCGCAACCCGGGGCGGGTAGGGTTACACCCAACCGCTCCTCTTCGAGAGGAGGGATAAAGATAATTGAAAAAGGTCTCCTTCCACCAGCACCCCCGCCGTCACCAGCCCAACTCGGAGGAGGATAAATCCCGTTAGCGACCCCGGCCGCGCACCTCAGTCACCCCTTCGGCCCCGAGGCCATGGCCGGGCTGCCGCCGTCCCGCCGGGCAATCCCACACCGCCGGCGTAACGACAAAAACGAAGGCCCCAACACGCGCTGAAACCAGCCACAAAACCCGGGCACTGCGTTAGCAACGGGCTCACTGACCTAAATACCGGATTGCCTCAACATCCTCCTCCCGAAGAGGGGTCACGATAAACACGAGAAACACATGAACAAAACAAAAGGAGGATGCGCAAGGGCTGCGCGGGTCACTCGCCGCTCACGGCCGCGCTCGGGCGAGGCAGAGCCCCGCGTCGGTACGGGGGAACCGAACCGGCGCAGGGCGCTCCCCAGGCGGGTGCAGTCCGGTGGCTGACTCAGACAAAAGCGGGGGGCCCTGCCAAGCGCCCGCAGTACCGCGCGTCTTAGCTGCGTCGCCCACCGCCTCCGCCTCCTCCGACACCCGGACACAAAAGACCCGAGAGACTGCCGGGCAGGAGCGGTGGCAGCGGGCGGGGGGGGTGTCCGGCCGGGCCGCTTCTGGCAACCGCCTGAGTCACGGCCGGGCCCGCCGCCGGCAGGCCCCACGCCGCCGGCAGACACAGGAACCTCATTGTCTCGCCGCCTGCGCTGCCCCGCACCGGCCCCGCCGAAGGCCGAACGCAACGAGGCCGCCAAAGACAAGGCCCGGGCACACCTCGCCCCGGTGAAGGCCCCGCGGAGCCGAGACCAGCCTGCCACATCTCACCCACCTGTTCTCGGCGGGGGCCACAAACCCCGCGGCGGCCGCCGGAGAAGGAGCCGCGGATAGCTCCGGGCGGTCGTGGGGAGAGCGGGGGCTGCGGGGCGCGCCGGGCTGGCGGCCGCGCCGCCGCCGCTTCGCTCCTTTGTTCCCGCAGCGGCAGCGGCGGCCGTGTCGGCAGCGACGCGAGGCGGGACCCGCCGAGCGTGGAAGGCGGGCGGCGGGAAAGAGCTGGCGGCGGGTGGGTGGGGAGGGGGAAGAAGAAGACGGCGACCAGGAGGAGGAGGAGGAATAGGAGGAGGAGGAGGAGGAGGAGGGAGGAGCCCAGCCCGCCCGGCGGACGCGGCTCCTCCCCCTGCCGGCCCGCCGGTGCATGCGTGCTGTCGGCCCGCGCTCCGCCCGTTGCCGCTGCGGGGCGGCGCGGTCGCGGTGCCGCGCCGGCCGTTCGCCCCCGCGGACACGTCACGGAGCGCGGCAGCCCCGGGCGGCGACTGCTCACCGCTAGGTGTCCGAGGGACACCCGGCACACCGCGGCACGTCGAGTCCTAGGGAGCGTACATTGCCTTAAAAATACCGTTTTCTTGGGTATTTCTTTCTTTTTATTTGACCTAAGTTTGCCTACAAGATCCGGGCGTCTTGGGGGATGAAAAGTAAAAATGCAGGAGCATTGCCCCGGAACGGAAGAGAACTTCCAATTTAAATAATAATTTCTGATTATAAATTTCATTTCCATTGGTCTGATAGCTTAGTCCTTTCACTGCTCTGAAAAGCAGAGGTACACAGGGAAAAAAAAAGAATAATGAAGTAACTGTACATTTTACTTAATCCAGTGATAACTAGCTAATGCTACTTGCTATTTTGGACAGAATCTTACACTCAAATGGTTAGTACCTTGAAAATACCGTGAGATTCACAAAAACTGCCTTGGAGACCGTTTTTAACTTGTGATGTTTGGAAGGTCAGGGACCCAAAGAAGGAGGACGCTCCCGGTAAGCCTAGGATTTTACCGCAAGGAGCAAGAGAATATGTGTATCCTTAGAAGCCACAGCTTCAGCAGATGATGGTGATTTTGGACCTTCTGTTGTTTGCTTAGCAGCATCACAAGCAAGCTGCCTTCTAAGGAAGTGGGTGCCTGGTTCAAGGATGCACTTTTAAGGAAGTCTCTGATGAACGCACTCACTGTAGATCAGAATCATACTGCTTCAATTGTCTTACACCTGTTGTTTCTGGTTGTATGTTGTGAATTCTTGAAGAATGTGGGTACCTAGAACTTGGCAGATGAGGCAAGCAGGAAATAAGTGGCTTGGGAATCTGTCCAGGATTCCAGATGTTCCTTTGAAAGACTGTAAGCTCACCTCCTGATGATGGGCATCTGCCTTCTGAGAAGACTTGAACCATAGCATTCCTGAAATGTTTTGGTGGAGATACATTGTTTTTAGATGTACATGGTGTGCAGTCCAGTGGAGGGATGAGTGACCATCTTTCCCACAGATTTGTCTCTAAAATGCATTGGACTACTTAATGGCATATAAGTTTAAGCTTTGACCTAAGAAGGATAGTAGAAGACTGCCAGTACTTTCTCTCTGCTACCTTCTTCTGTGATGCTGACATTTGAGTATCTCACCTCTGTTGTAGGGACTAAAAGAAATGTAGAGGATGACTTAGACTACAGGGTCTTCATACTGTTTTTCTGTTTACTTTCTTTTACTGAAAGTATTGTGAACTCCTATTTCAAGGTACAACGAGATAATAATTAATTATAATTATACATATTATTATAATATTAGAATTAGTATTACTGTGGTATAATTTAAGGCATGCTGAATTGTGAATCTCTGTGACTGTGGTGAACGAGTGCCTCAGTGAAGCTGGCCGTGTTGGTCCTGGCCAGCGCTTCTCAATTTCCTCATCTTGTTGTGCCAATGACACATAAGTCTTGTCCAGACTTATTTTAATCTTCAGAGTTTACTGTGCTCCCAAAAGTCGTGTCAGTTCATGGTCTATTCTGCATGGTATTCTCTTTGTGCAAATCCTCCCCTTCTGCTCTCATATCTCTCATTTTCAACCCTCAAGACCTCTTTTTAATATATGATACTTTAATAATTTTGTACCTTGTTTTCTGCTAGTGCTTTAAATAGTTTTGCATCAACAGTGGCTGGCTCTGCTACTAGTTTAATTTCTCTAGTGACTGCATGACTTTAAAACCAAAATCAATGCACAGAATATAATCCGTGGTTTGATAGTCTGTACTTGTGGCTGGAAAGTTGTATCTGACCATAGGTATTACAGATTTCTCCATCCAACTCTTTTCTGCAACATTGCAAGGAAGAAGCCCCATGTTTGGATGTTTCTGTCATCCAAAGCGCTGCAGTTGTTTAAGATACTTAGATGATCTAAGTCAGTAGTGTCCAGAGTGGGGTACACGAGATGATATAGTGGGGTACTGGAAGAAGATACTAGAACTTCAGTAATGTATGTATACAACTGATAAAATAAATATATGCACACTTGGTGTGTGTGCTCAAAAATGCTTTACTATAGGGATGCACCAAAAAAGTGAAGTTATAGAAATTTTTTTACATCCCACAGAAATCCAAGTAATTGCTGTGCCCTGAAAAATTTATCAGTGGAGACCACTGATCTAAATTATGCCAGTTTTATGTTGCTGTTTGTTTTGTTTTGTTTTTAATGCAATAAGGGGATAGATTATTTGCTTTATTTGCCCATGTATCTTCCTCTCAATTATTTTCCTGAGAAAAATTGCTGTATTAGTAGTGTATATCTACTTCTCTTGAGAAATCCTGATAGTTCGTTGTTTTTGGTTTTTTTTAATTTTTTTTTTTTCTTCCTACCATTAAATAGGAGTCAGATAGGGTCATTTAGACTGCAGGGAATTTCTGCCCACTCTAGGACTTTATTTTTTGTATCTAACTATTAAAACATTGCCTTAACATTTGGCTTGTTGGATTTCTCTGTATTTTTGAGCATCTCCTAAGCAAAGACCAAACTGTATATGTGTTGTGGTATGACCACACACCCTGATACAGAGAGCCTGAAACATGACCAGTCCTGGAGAATCAACAAGTGTGTTTTAATTTTTCACAAAAGAGACGAGTATTTTGAGGTGGGTGTTGTAGCTGTAGTGTTGATCGGTAAAGAGGCCAGAGGGGTGAGCAGAGAAGCTGCAATATGAAAGCAGGTGAATCTGCAGCACCTGTTTGTTCAAGACAGGTGAGCAGTGTTCTCATTCACATAATGCTCATGGTGGTGGCGGCAACATTTTTTTGTCTGTCTAGCTGTACAGACCCTGTTCTTAATACCTTTCTTTATGACTGATGTAATTGTAAACTAGGGGTTTTTGACTGATACTAGGATGAATGTCATACAAAAGATAAATTTGTCAGGGCAGAGCAGTTACTTAGATTTCTGCGTGACATAAAAACATTCCTACAGCTTCACTTGGAGAAGTTCACCTTCCTGTCTTTTCAAAGTGGGATTCTTTTGAGCTAATTTGTATATGTGAATTATAATTTGCTTACCACAGAGATGTAAATATTTGGCAATGTATTGTTGGTAGTGGTTTATGAATGCCCTCACTAGGTCTATGGAAAAACATCCACCCCCTACCACCACACCCCAAAAACAACCTAAGTTTAACTCTTTCCTCACAGGAGTTTTCAGGATAATACTCTCTCTTTTCTGTTTCCTCAGGAATAGGTCTTATCTCCCTTCCCTGTACTCCAACACTTTCATGTGGTCCTCTGTGGGAACCCCATAAATGTTAGAGTATTGTGTCAAAGCCAACCTATAATAAATTTCCTCCGAGAATTAAAATTATGAATTGATGCAACCAAAAAAGATATTTACCTTTTTAAGCTGTTTAGATCCTTCATACAAAAGAGTCCAAAGAATTATGCCTTGGAGCTAAGATTGGATCAAGGACATAGAAAGGAATAAACTTAACTCTGCTGCCATATGGAAACTCATGCTGTACTAGCAACATTGTAATGAATAGGTTTATAGGGTATTGGGTGTGAAGAAGCCAAAATTATTTTATGACAAGTATGGAACATTTTAAAGGATGTAATTTTAAAGGCATAACTGAAACTTGCATATCAGGACAAAAAAGTTTTGCAGCAACAGGAGTAAGAGAGAGTACTGCTGGCTTCAGAAGGCTAGAGCTAATATGAGGTATTATTCAGAGTTACTGGTCTTTGAAAATTTGCTTCCTGTTTACATTTTCATCAGGACTTAACTGAGCAGTAGGGATTATGCTAACTTCTCGCTGAAAGATGCCTTTTGTGAAAAAACTGATTGATAGCCCCTGATTCTAATATTTATTTATATTATTGTATTGTTTTGTGGCATTACTTATATTGTGTATTATATGTTATTTATAGTTTTATTTGAATTTCATGGCCAAATATGGATACATAACAGTCCATGCAATTTGTGACTACAGGAAATAGTAATCATTATTTCAAAGAAGACTATTTAATACACTTTGATTTCAAAGGAAGATAAACACATTACAAGAAATATGTTCAGATTCTTTAGATGGACATACATTTAAATAGAAGGGCAGATTTTCCATTCTGATACACCCTTTGTCATTTTTACATCTTTGCTCTGAGGAGAGACTACCTCTGAGTACTGGAAACCTAAAAGCAATTTGTTTGAACTTTGGTTCAATTCTCAGGGGTGTCCACAAATACATGCATGCCTGTAAAACTGGATAAAAAGGAATCAGTACACAAATAATTTCTTTCTGCAGATTTAGGGCAGTTTATGTTAAAATGTTCTTCTAGGACAATAAGGACTTACAGGTCCTATTTGGAACATTTGGTCTCTATTATGTAAAGCATATCACCTTCAGACAGTACAAGTTTCTTGGTGAAGCATCCAAGCCCCCCTTCTAACTAAAATTCTAATGTGGTTCTGAGGTCTTGCTTATTTTCTGGATTTTTTAAATGTTCAGTGGCCTGTGGAAGATGGAGTTACATATTTCAGTGTGCTGTAGTGTATGCATGTCCCTGAAGGGGCATCGTGGCAGCTACTGCAGTTTAAAGTGACTTAAAGACACTTCTCCATAGGTACTCATTAGCAGAATTTCATTAAC